TTCATTCAACTTAACGCTAAGTATGCACTAAGGCTAAGTTGATTTTTGACAGATTGCTTGTGTGCAACACGTTGGCGACGACCACCATCCAAGCGGGGAATTCTCGATCAACTCAAAGTTAGTTTTGCGCCATCTTTTAAGTACGAATATTTTGGTGCGCGCACCTCTACTCGAGCCAAAGCAAACTCGTGCGAGAAATTTTGCAATTTATCAGCGTGATTTTGAAACTTTTGAAATATTGTGGAAACTCATAAAATCTGGTTAAGGGGGAAGTGAAAAGTGAGCGACACGTGAGAGGGTAGAGAAAATTGTGTTTCCACCTAACTCGCATCACTACTACATATACATGTGACATACATGCTGAGTTTGAGGAATTTATGTGCATTACACGTGTGGGCACATGGCCATGTGTGATTAAAGCACGTAGTTGTATTTTTACTGGTACACACGCACATGTACGAGTATTTCCAAAAATTTCGCTTATCCCCTTGAAGGCTAACACCGGAACCTGCCTGACCAACGGTAACATTCACTTGCAAGCAAACTGTGCGTTGCATACATGTGGAGCGCCGGAAGTTTACTCATTAGAAATTCGAGGCAGAAACTCGTTTCCCAGGTTTTAAATTCAAATAAGTAAACATTTAGCGCGCTAGTCAACTTATCTTTTCATCATTCGTCGGTAATGTAGATACCTGCTGAAGCCCGTTCATCCTTCACCTGATTCTTTCACCGGTGTGGAGATCTTACTCTTTCCCTGCTTCCACCAGCGATGACTACATCGAATCAGCGCAACCTCTGCCATGTTAAACTGAACCATGTTACAGTTTTATCGTCTGTGGTATTCGACGTCACTCAAAAACAGAGGACCATAAATTATTCACTCCAAGGCCCCCAAAGCCGACTAATGGAATTTTGTCAACTTCCACGGATCTGGACCGTAAAGAAGGCAGTGTTTGGTCTTCATTCGTAGATAAGGTGGTCTACTTTTGAATTCAGTCCAAAATAACTCCTGCTGACAAGAAAGATTCTGCGATGTATTCCCAAGCAGGCATTGTTGTTGGTTGTCTCATAGACGTAAAAGTTATGGCGGCAACTCTTATTATTTTCTCCAGCAATTGGTCACACGAAAGACATTCACCTTGTCGGAAACCTCAATTTGTGCCGTCGGACTCGGTGAGCTCCTTCCGATTCCTGACACTGTTTTTGGTATTGCTTAGCGTTAGTTTACTAGCCACATACTTTTATACGACGTTTATAAGGGGATACCAAATACAAACATGGCGACATTGGAAGCGGCTGATTTCGTGCTACGAAACCAGCCTTAAAACCAATAAAGAGATGTGGTTTGACAGTTTTTTTCATACGGGTCTTCTAAAGGATTTGGTGGGTTCTGAGTATTTGGTCAATTGCATTTTTTCCAGGTCTAACTAGTGAGTACTGGGAACCTCGATCTACAGAACATAGACTGATGTCATCCGTCGACGTTCTAAAAATAACCAATTGCAACGTTTCGAGATAGGCACGGTTTTTTTCTCCACTCTGACACGGCAATCCTCGTCGTACCAGTTCTTCTTTAGTCCTTGTAGTAAACAAACTAACGTAGAAATCTTGGAGGGTCGAAATTTCATTATATTTAAGTGCGAATAAGTGCTTTAAGACGTCGAATCTTCCTTGTATTTGTTAATGAGTGTTCTGCAGAGGTATAGCTACGTATATTTGCTGATGGTAAGTTTTTGTCTCGTTATCTGGAACTACAGGTAAACATTTTTCCGTTTCATTCCATTTGGGGACGTCGCGACATGGAGACTATTTATGACTATTGTACCAAAGAAGGCTACTTTGCCCACCCAGTCCTTAACGTTACCAAGCACGATTTCGATAATGAGGCGTGGAGAGCAGTAATAAGAACATTTGGGGTTCTCATAGAAAGCATCGTCTTTCTCTTTCCTCCGATTCGTACAGAGCTTCGCTTTGATGTGGATTGTGGTGGAACGTTCGCCTACCGGGGTAGACCTTAGGACTTAGACTCTCTTCCACCACATGAGTCTGACATCAAAAAGAAGCCGCTTAATTCGTTCGCAGTGATAATCATCAAAAGTGGCGTTTCCTATCCAAAAAATTCTAGCGAAAACCAATCCTAACGTATACCGTCACTTGGCGAGTAGGTATTAATTAGTTAGCAAACATTTGTATAGTGATATACATGCCTAATAAGGATTGAGAGGCGCTGAAATTAGACTACAGCGAATCCATACACCGATTGGCTTCTCTGAAGATCTACCTCTTTTAGTTATGACGTGAAGCTTCCTACAGATAAGTTACCGCAACTTGCCCAAGGGTTTCCCATCTTACCAAGGCGGGGGATGCGGACGCGATTTTAGAAATTGAGAATTTCCTGGAAAGATACCTATATACACGATTCCTAAGTAAGAGCATCGCTAAATATATAGTTGTACAGTGCTACGGCATAAACCGCCTTGTAGAGCGTCACAAAATAGGGTATATGAGTCCGAGAAGGAAGCTTAAAAGCATGCTTCAAATTATCTCGGTAAAGGTCACTAGCGATTGTCTTTGAACTTCGATCGCTTGCGCCCTTAAATATATTTCCTACAAAATATTTTCTCGAGTTTATTTCAGGTGACTCTTAATAACAAGCTTTGCATGCTGAAACTCTTCAGACTAGACTCCAATCTAAATGTATCCAGTTTACAATGACTACCCATACCTCACATACCTCGTCAAAATAAATAATTAGATAACTTTATTATGTATCTAAGGAGCCGCTACAATCACCTTTTATACCCTCAAAAAATTACTGTTGGAATTTTCTCTAGCCAAAGCTAGCAATCAAGAAAGATCATTAAAATACTCCGGAACGAAGCCTTGGTTTAAGATTTGGGAATTCCTTTTCGGTAACCAACCGGCAATTTCGTGATTCACTGACTTCGTATGCGCTCTTTTCGTAAAAAGATGGTGAGTACCCTGGTCTTACGCATTGGTGTCCCACCGCGGCAGTTTAACCAATAATGCTGTACGGTGCTCTGGTGTGGTGAACCTAAAAATCTCGTATAGGAAACCATTGAAACGACTATAGCGCCTCGTTGCACTATGCATAACAGGTTCTTTCAATATCACTCCAACAACAGCACTTGACCTACCAAATACTCGGATACTTTACCTAGGAAAGGTTTTAATTTATTTTCCAGGAGGGCGGATATCACAACAGTGTGCGATCTGTTGATGGGTCAAAAATGGCTGATGAAGGGGGTATATTGCGCTGTGCTAGACCTCAGGTAATATTTTTCAGTTAGAGGTATTCGCCATTATTTATTTCGACACCCAGGCTAAAATTTTATTGTGTCAGAAAATATTCTCAAAAGCTGGGAAGCAGCAGACAGGGCGGCTAAGAGTAAACCGGGCTCCAGGCCCCAAGAGCATTGTAGGTAACGAAATAGCTCATGAATGAGCCTACAGTGCAAGCCGTCTTGCCGTGAAGATGTACAGAATAAGCTGAGTTGAGTTGCTGCGACCGCTGGTCATTACGAGCACATTTATTCCAATAGGTCTGTTGTGAAACTACAGAGAAGTTCATTTCTTCACCTTCCCAAACTTTCGAGCTATTTCGTGTGCCTTATAAAGGCAACGAAATTTCCAACATTAGCTGAGGCTAAGTCATCGAGACAGTCGAAGAAGTTTTTCCCGAAAAATTTGTAACGCGCAGTGTCAGGACGTCATTTTCTTCGTCCCTACAGCAGCGGCAAAAATCTTTAGAGTGGTAGCCCATACTTTCCTCATTAAACAGTGGCCTGTTACTATACCTGTTTTTATGTTAATAGAGAACTGGTCTAAAAGGAAAAGATGTTTTGATTTTTTCGCATTCAATTTTGTCACAACTGACTGGTCACGTGATCTCATTCAATCGTCTTGGGTCTACTTCTTTGACAAAGGCCAGTTTAAACATATACTTTGCCGTGCACAAAGGTAAATCTATATCGTGTGAGTATTTCACTGTAGAAAGAAGCGTTCCTTCCCTCGCTAGTTCGCCCACCAGGCAATTGTCTGGAATGACTCGGTGTCAGGGTACCCAGAACACGGCAGTGTCGGTATATATCGCAACTGATTGTCTCACTACAGTAGTAGATTTGAGCAACCACTCGGCGTCATCTATGAGTGCAAAATGTTCTGCTTGGTCTGTTAGGCTCTCGTTCATATTTATTGAGAGTATCAGAGAATAGCTTTGCTGCTCACTTTTCCATCTAACTTTAAGCTGCCTGTAAAAATGGCTATGGCTCTCTCATCGAGATCGTTTGTGTTTTCCCACTCATTTCTTTTTGGGCTTCTCAGGGAGAAACATATACTAAAGGTGGTGTAGTCCATCTCCTTCGGCACTTCTGCAAAAAAAAGACATATTTTAGCGTGTCTATTTCACAATTTAAGTAAGATAGAGTAAAGAAAAGTCGATGAAAACAAGTGGCGGATCAGGTGCTTCTCATTTCAAAGTACTAGAGCAAGTCTTAACTTTGGATATCAAAGCTCTCTAGAACTACGAGGAAGGTGTTGACGTACTATACGATGACTCTTTTTAATCGCAGTTAAACGGACTTCCATTTGGCACTACAAAGGACCAGCGTGTCTATATAAGGCGCATCGGTCGGTGGTTCAACCTTACCAAGCACAAAATTCAAATCTCATTTCAATTTTTATTGCAAATGCTCTTAATTTTTATTTCATTGATTTCATTGTCGTGTGACCAAATATTTTACATATATTTTATATGTACATTACAACTATTTAATTTATTACTTAACCTGCAGTTAAATTCTGCTCAATACAATTTCCGGTATTTTGCATTTTATTAAATTCATCGATAACCACCAAATATTGAGTGGTTACATATTAATAACTAATTAATTTCTAAAAGTTAAAAATACAATATCTCAAGTTGTTACATTTTAAAACTATTCTTTCTCTTCTTCTTCTTCTTTTTCCCATTTCCGCAGCAAGTGACAATTGGCATACACTCGGGCGAAGTGGTGACCGGCGTTATCGGCAATCGTGTGCCACGCTATTGTCTCTTCGGCAACACGGTAAATCTGACAAGTCGCACTGAGACCACGGGTGTGCCCGGACGTATCAATGTCAGCGAGGAAACTTATCGGTGAGTGAAAAGCAGAAATTGTGTAATCGTACTTTCTTTCACCACTTTCTCATTTTTTTTCTACTTCATACTTTCTATACATATATATATATACATATATGTATGTATTTATTCACTAACTTACTTACATGTTTATAGTATACTTAACTCTTTATAAATACAATATATAGATATACTCGTATATGTGTAAGTGAAGATCCAAATGTAAAGCGCAGTGCTGTTGTTGTACTTTATAGTAAGTAACATAATGAAATTGTTGAGTGTATGAAGTTTTAACAATCCAATTGTTTGCAACAACTTGCTCCCGCGTTGCACTGTTTTACCCTCTACGGATGCTGTCTTGCTTGCAGATAAAGCTGAGTAGTACAAGTTTTGACTGAAAATAAAAAAAAATAAAAAATTAAAAAAAAAATCTTGTAAAAAAGTTTAGCGACATCTTATGTGTATTTCAAATGAAAACTTTTTACAATGATTTCAAAAAATCAAAATAAAATATTTTTCTTTTTAAAAAATAACTAAAAATGGTAGAAATAGTGAGTAGACAAGTGGCCAAAAAAAAAGTAACTACTAAGCTACTAAGCTAGCCAAAAGCAAGAAAAAGTAGTTGGCTTTGACCCTGAATATTGCTTATACCCTCCACGTGCTAAAATTATTATTGCTTTATTTTGATTTCTTTTTTTTTTTTTAATACACATAAAATGCACTTCTGAGATCTCATTAAATGAAAAATTTAGTTTTTAATTGTTTTGAGAAGCAGTTGAAGGAGCTAAGAACATATTTGTACAACGCTCAGTCTCGTAAGACAACAAATCGTCTCAAATGCGAGCTTCAGATGTGATCGTTTTTTCTGACAGCGTTATTGAGACGATAGTTGGTCGAATTTCAATTCGCAGGAGTATAACTTCTTTATGTATAAAACCTTTATCTCGATAGGCGGATCAACCCACCACCTAAACTACTGACACTAGAGTTCTGTGTGCAACGTAAGCAGTCGATACAGTCTGATGATGAGAATATGGATAGCTTAGTACCTGGGTCATTATATTGGGTTGCTCTCAAAGAACTTTAATCAATTATGTAATTTCCATTTTGTTTTTGCATGACCTTTTGCCAGCTTTCCAGCAACATCATTTTTATTCCACGCTCATAGAACTTCTGGCCTTTATTTGCAAAAACCTGAACCAAGTGCGATTTTACGGCCTCGTCATTTTCGAAAATTTTGCAGTTTAACGAGTTCAGTTTTTGGCGAGTGGCCAAAGATGTGTGCGATCTAGAATTGTTCTGGTGGAATATGACACCTTTACGATTGACCAATTCCGGCTGCTTCTCGTTGATGGAAATATTCAATTTGTCAAGTTGTTCACAGTAGACACCCGAATTAATGGTTCGGTTCCTTGGAAGCAGCTCAAAATATTATATATTACACTCTTCAAATTCCACCCAGCATAATCTTCTTTTAAGGGAGATCTTTGAAGTGGTTTGTAGTGCTTCATCATTGTAAACAATCAATTTTTTATCTTCAGATAGGATTTGTTTCAAAAACAAGCGTTGAAGAGGCTTGTAAAATGAATTTCTTTCAATTCATGTAGTACCCAAATATCAAGTTTTTTTAACCAGTCCAAAACGTCGTATTTCATTAGGAACGGTTGATTTTGGTATGCTTAAATTCACTCTAACCTCAAGCTCAAACTCTTGACGATCCGATTCAATTAAATCCTTGCTAACGTCATGATCAACTTCACTTAGCCGACCTGAACGTGTCTCACCCTTGAGTGAAAAATCTGCCGAACGAAAGTTGATAAACTAACTTTGACACTTACAGCCTATAACTGTCAAAGGGAAAAATATGGTTAAATAGCCACAGCTGATCAGAGGAATTGTCAACGCCATCTGTATCAAAAATCGTTGGCTTTTTTTGGGGTAATCCAATTTAAATTTCTTTCTCCCCACCAAGTGGACATGAGACCAACGAATTCAAAAAATAATAAAGTTTTGATCCAATTATCTTGGGATTTGTAGTAATTTCTTTACGGGAAGGTAAGAGGTTTAAAGATTTAAACTTGTCGCCATTTATGTAATAAAGTGTTGACAACACCAAAAAACAAATCGATTGCTGCCAGTTGAACATTATTACAAAAATAATGAAAGCTTGGCGGCCGCACATCGAAAAATTCCAGCAAAATATGGTCGACCTAGTGTTTTATCATCGACGACTGTGCTGAGATTAGTTAAAAAATTTCGGGAGGCAGGATTTGTTGGAGATGCCAAGCACACTGGTCGTCCAAAAACAAGTCGTTCAAATAACAATTTCGAGGCAGTGCGTGAGAGTGTCGGTCGGTCGGTGTCGTGAACAAGAATTGCAAATTTCAAAATGTATTCCACAGTATACTCACTAAAGATCCGCGTCCCAATGCTTACAAAGTTTTATTATTAATTTATTGCTCGCTTAAAAAACAACAAATCGGTTGGGGCTGACGGCTTACCGGCAGAACTATTCAAACATGGCGGTGTAAAGCTGACAAAGTGCATGCATCAACTACTTTGCAGAACATGGTCGAACGAATGCATACCCGTCGACTGGGAATTAAGTGCACTCTGCGCCACGTATCGTAGGATAAACCTTCTAAATATCGCATATAAGATCCTTACTTTAATACACATATGTACAAGGAATTGATGGAAAAACTATCTTCTGTTTGCAGAAGGAGATTAAAAGAGTGCCCTCGAAGCAACATGTAATAATGTAATACTCATAAATGTCCATACAAGAGACTTTTGTTTGGAATTTGCTACTCCGTTCTTGGATTCACGACTGGAATATCCATTTCGTTTTAAAGCATTTTTTGCTTGAAAATTCCTTTGGCTCATCTGTAACACTCATCTCTCTACTGGTTTGTCAAGTAATGGAAGTGAAACTTTACCACTGGCACAGCCATTTCAGCAGTTTCATCACTTCATCACCACTTACAGCATCGCAGCTAAAGATTAAGATAATAACGAAACTAAAACTGAAGAAATCCAGTACCTATAATATAGACCAATTTTTATGCCTAAAAATTCTAATTCGTGTTGTCTGCGTCTACAATTGCATCACAGTCTGTCTTTCTGAATGAACTCGTTGCTGAAGGCGAGTTTCAGTTACCCTCAAAACCCTTTCTCGCACTGTTCGCTGGTGTTTTCTCAGCTCTGCTTGAACCGAAGATTCTTGATTTCGTGCAATTTTTACCACATGTGCCAGCGACGAAATTTTGAATAGATCAAATATCCGTTTCCGCAGCAGTTTTAATGGAAATAAAATTAGAATCAGCGATCTAAGGTAATGAGGTGGCATAACTTGAACATCTTGAAGGGTATTAAAATTTGTAACCCATGGTTTTTGTTGTATAACGGGAAAACTGTTTGTGTTGTTAAACTATTTGGCAGTGCATACAACTGAGTAGAATTGATACTTACTTATAGTTATTATTGTATTTACTCAGTATTTTCATCGCATCGTTGGTTAGCTCAGCTGGCGTTCAGGACAATCGCTGTGCTTGTTGTGAGAGGCACCAGTGGCTTTGTTGATATTATTGTCCACCTCTTCATCATCACTATTGCTGCTGCTGCTGCTGCTGCTGCTGCTGCTGCTACTCCTACTGTTCTTGGCAGTTAACTGCAACTGCATTGGATTGAGAATTTCCACATTTAAAGGTTTCTCGAAAACCACAATCATATCATTTTCCTTTTTCAACTCGAATTGCTCCTGAGCCAACTCTGTCGTTTCCGACACCACCTCCGCCTCCTCCTCCTCCTCCTCCTCAACAACCGGCGGTAATTCATTGCTTACCAAGGCATGCGCTACACATAACTGGTCTTGTGTCTCCACCACCAAACTCTCCATAACCTCTACACCAACTTCCACATCCAGGGAAGATTGTTCTTCGTCTTTGGGTTCGGCGAAACGTACTCGTCTCTTGGCACCACTCACGCCACCACCGCTGGCCTGCAACTTTTCCAAAGCCGCATTATTTTCAATATCATCCTCTTTCTGCGGACCCTCCAGCTCTTCCATAAGATCAATGTAACGATGCAAGCGGCGCGGTAGCCGCAGAGTATCGATGCCGTTGGGTAGTTGGCAGTTGTGACGCAGCAAGTCACGTATGCGGCATCTGCAGCGAGTTGAAAAGAAAGAAAGATGTTTAACAATTTGCAGATAAATATTATGTAAAAGAGAGAAAGAGAGAGGGGGAAAGAGAGAGCGGGGTAGAGAAAGGTGGATTGAGTGTGTTAGAACTTAAACTTGAGTTGTTGTTTTATAAAGTGAAAAGATTATTAGGCTTTTCGCCGAAACTTGAGTGTATAAAGAAATCAAAAGTTCAAAACAAAATGCAAGAAATAAAAATTTATCATTTGTTCGACATGAAGGGCGAAAACCGCTATGGACCCATTGTCGCCTTTTAAGTGTCAAAGCAAAAAATTGCAAAATTGAAAAAAAAATTACAGTAAAAGCGCCGAAATCCATCGCTTTACAGTTTCTTTTGCAAACTTTGAAGAGAAAAAAAAACTTTATTTATAAAGTTTCCTACTCTTTTCGTACATTGCTTTTTTCGATACTTTTGTATATGTGTATGTGATAATGTGTGTGTGCTTGTGTACTTGTACTATTGTGCCCAGATGCCTGCGCTCGAAGCAAAACTTTTCGAGACTTTGAAGTGATGATTTTTTTTTAATTTAAAAAAGAAATAAAAATAAAACTAAAAATAAAATAAAAAATAATAAAAACAATCCCTGCCACCAACAACAACAGCCTGCTGTAATAAAATATTACATATAAGGCAGTAAATATAATGCATAACGTAATTAGAAAGTTACGATTTGATCCGAAAAAAAATCTAAGAGTGTATTAAATTTAGACGTTGCTTCAAATATTAATGCAACATAAAAATTCTTTTCACTTTTTTCGGTGCAATAAACTTTAAGTATTCGCAAAACACAACCGGAATAATAAAATGTCGCCATCCAGTTTGTATGTGTGGGTTGCCGCATATAAATTTCCCCTCACAAATAGCAGAAATTATGGAGAGATGTATTGGGTTGCCCAAAAAGTAATTGCAGATTTTTTAAAAGAAAGTAAATGCATTTTTAATAAAACTTAGAATGAACTTTAATCAAATATATTGTTACGATTTTACTAAATCAACCTCGATTATTTTCTAAATCCTTCGGGTACGATCTCTGGATTGTTAAATAAAACTCGCCAACTTAATTTGCAGTTTCTTTCTTTATAAAGATTCTATCTAATGTCCTTTATTTACTCCGTAATACACAATTCAATTACAAGGCACTTACTAGCTACAACCACTTGCATAAACTTTCACAATTTACTTTACTTAAATGTAATTCCCAACGCGTTCACTTTACGACTTAACTAATGTTAACGCCAACGAGCTCACTTTGTAACTAACTTGACTTGCAGCTGAGTGTCGCCCTTATATAGCAGTCGGCTGCTCGCAGACGAAAGCGTAGAAGCATCGAATTGTTCGCTATGGAAGATTCTTGTTTTATCGTTTCTAGAATGTACTAGTTATCGGCTTCTCTCTTTCATCTGACATTCGCCTCGCATTTTCGCAACAATATAATTGCCATTTTGTTCGATAACCTTTTGCCATCTTCCTGGCAAATTTAGTATTCCACGCTCATAGAACTTCTGGCATTTATCTGCAAAAAACTGAACCAAATGCGATTTTATAGCCTCATCATTGCCGAAAGTCTTACTATTTAAGGAGTTCTGCAAAGATCGAAATAAATGGTAGTCTGATGGTTCAAGATCAGGGCTATATGGTGGATGCATCAAAAGTTCCCAGCCAAGCTGACTCAGTTTTTGGCGAGTGACCAAAGATGTGTGCGGTCTAGCGTTGTCCTGGTGGAATATGACACCTTTACGATTGACCAATTCTGGTCGCTTCTCCTTGATGGCTGTATTCAATTTGTCCAATTGTTGACAGTAAACATCCGAATTAATCGTTTGGTTCCTTGGAAGCAGCTCAAAATATACGACACCCTTCCAATCCCACCAAACAGACAGCATAACCTTCTTTTGGTGGATATCAGCCTTTGAAGTGGTTTGAGCTGGTTCACCATGCTTGGACCATGATCGTTTTCGACTAACGTTGTTGTAAACAATCCATTTTTCATCTCCAGTTATGATTCGTTTTAAAAACGGATCGAATTCATTGCGTTTAAGGTGCATATCACAAGCGTTGATTCGGTGTGTTAAATGAATTTCTTTCAATACATGTGGTACCCAAATATCAAGCTTTTTCACCAGTCCAAGACTTTTTATGTGATAATGAACGGTTGATTTTGGTATATTTAACTTCTCTCCTATCTCACGCTCAGTTACATGACGATCCAATTCGATTAATGCTTTGATTTGGTCATCATCAACTTCATTTGGCCGACCTGAACGTGGCTCATCTTTAAGTGAAAAATCTCCAGAACGGAATTTGCGAAACCAATTTTGACACTGTCTTCCTTTTAAGGCTTCATCACCATACACATCTCGTAACTTTTTAGCAACCTGCTCCGCGTTTTTTCCTTTACGGAAATAATAAAGTAAAATATGACGAAAATGCTCCTTTGTGGGCTCCATATTAAAATTGACGCCAAACAAACAAATGTAAACAAAATTTCGCGCACTTTTTTTCTAAAGCAAGCTAAAAGTAACAGCTGATAACTGACAGAAGAAAGAATGCAATTACAGAGTCACAAGCCGTTGAAAAAATTTGTCAACGCCGACTATATGAAAAATCCGCAATTACTTTTTGGGCAACCCAATAGATCAGTGGGCCAACGAAACCAATAAATAAAATTTACGATTAAAATAATAAAAAATTATTGACTAGCAAAAGTATTGTGGACATTTATAACCAATTCAAATATTGTATAATGATCATATCGAACTGGCAGTAAAAAATTATCGAACTATAATCATATCATACTCAGTCTACAGAACACATAAGCACTATACTATTATATACTATATATACTACATATATCCACAAAGCTTGACAAGTTTTTAAAAATGAGAATTTCGACACCAAGTACAGCCAGGCCCTGGACCACTCGGTCTTTCCCACGGAGTGGAGAACTTCCTCTTCCTCTGCTTCCACCTGTGGGTACTGCACCGAAAACTTTCAAAGTTGTTTTAAGGATTGTGAAGAGAAGAAGAAGATTCTTCTTAGACACTTTTAAATAAGCTGGCATATATTTGTAAATTATGTGTAAATATGTAATTGGCTTATTCACCCCCAAACCTTTAAACTGCAAAGTACAAAATATGAAATGAAAATTTGTTTAAAATTGTTTACAACATCAACGTTAAAGGTCCATTACATGATATTATTTGAACTCCTCAAAGAATTGCAAAGTAGCACTCAAGACGATTTCACACTTGCGGTGAAATTAGAGAATGTTTTTGGTTTAGCATTCTTCCTAGCATTGCATTGTAAGAAAGAGCATACAAGGTGCGTTCCAAAGTAAACAGAACTTTTTGGAAAAAAAAAAAACAAAACAAATGTTTTTATCGGCAAAATCAATTAATTTTATTCAAAATAGTCTCGTTCTGCTTTAATACAGCTTTTTGCACGGTGTTTTAGCACGTTGCCCGGTATGGCCGCCAGTATGCCGGTGCAAGCTTTTTGAATGGACTGCATAACGCTTTCCTTTCATCAGCAAATGCATTTTTTTGAAACACTGGAAGTCGCATGGTGCCATATCAGGTGAATACGGGAAGTGGTTGATTGTTAAAATGTGATTTTTGGTCAAATAATCGGCCACAAGCGTCGATCGATGAGACGGCGCATTATCGTGCAACAAACGCCAACTTCCAACTTCAAAACTCCCAGGTTGTCGCAATCTTGCAAAGGAAGTTCGGGTTCTTTTTTTTTAATGATGCCCTTCGAATATTGAATTCTGAGCAATTTTTGGTCGTCAGGCAATTTGTGCGGAACAAACCGTGCACACACCTTTTGTAAGCCCAAATGTTCCGTCGAAATGCGATTAATCGATATTTTGGAGATATGCAATTCTCTTTCCATGAACTTCAATGAAGATTTCGGCTGATTTTTTATGAATTCCCGCACAGTTTCGATGGAATTTTCGGTGATCACGGAAATCCACTTTGAAAACGTTGAAACCACTCATGCACTCTGCTACGGGATAGGCAATCATCGTCATAGACTTTTTTCATCAATTGAAATGTTTCAGTAAAAGTTTTACCAATTTTAAAACAAAATTTAATGTTGGCTCTTTATTCGAAGCTCATTTTCGCACCGATAACAAAAACATACTGACACTTAAAATGCAATAACTTCACTTCCAATAAATGAAATGTCATGAAATTTTTACTACAAGTCGACAAAGAGATAAAAGAAGAAAGCAGATTCTAACGAACTAGTCGACATATAGATGGCGCCACTAGCGTGCTCTAGCTTCAAAAAGTTCTGTTTACTTTGGAACACACCTTGTACAATTGTTTGTGTTAAAAAACTTACATCTTCATTCATCTACATTCCGACATCTTTAAGAGACATTGTAGCAAATAAAAATATATTTTTTAAAAAGCAATTATATACACGTATATATACATATTGTAAATGGTTTTCCTAAAAGAGGTTTTATTTTGAATAATCTGTTATTCCGGTAGATGGCGCTTTTGAAGTTGTAATTGTTTGACATTTGACAAGTCAGTAAAAAAATTGGAACGTTACACGCTTCATCAAAGCGCTAAAATTATTAAAATTCACTATAAAAATTTTGAATACCTGGCAGAGTCTGCCATCGTAAAGCACATAATCGGAACTTAATAGAAAACTTGATGGAAAAAATTGAGCTGTAGGGACAAGTTAGTGATGTGAAGAATAAAATACGGGCACGTCGTTCAAGAACAACTGAGAATATTGCTGCTGTAGCACAAAGTGTTGAAGGAAAACCAAGGAATGTCCATACCTCTGCGTTCTTTGAGATTGGACAATCCACAAACGTCATAACACCATATTTTGAAAAAAACAAAAAAAAAAACTTACACAAGAAATCATGCTGATTAGGTCCTTCAGATGTCTAAAAATGATCTGGAGTTTCACAGAAAAATCATCTTGGCTGATGAAGA